ACTAGTTTTGCAGGTTAAATCAGGCAGGCGGAATTGCTTTATCTTGCTTTTCCACTTTTTTTTTTTTTTAAATGAATTTGTTGCCAGCGACAGCAAAAACGAGAGGTTTTACATCAAGATCTCAATGTTTGGCTTTCTGTGGGAAAATTGGGGCATCTGCAAAAACAGGGCCATTTTCCTCTATGACAGTTTTCTTTTCCAGCCGAACAGCAGAAGCTTGCTTTAGACTTGGGGATGGGCTCCTGGGAAGGACCCTGCACTTCCTAATGTCCCCCTGTGCTGAGACAGATATCAAGTGCCCTTCAACATTGAGATGGAGCTATTGGTTTGCAGGACCCCCTTCCCTCCTTCTTATTCCTGCCTGGGCCCCTGTAAGTATTTGAGTTTCTGAGCCATGCAGCTGTCAGACAGTTTTTCTTCTTGACTCAACACTTGTGCTTTGCTCATGCTGCTTCTCTGTCTGGAAGGTCACTTCCTTTTGGGCGCGTCTGTCCAACACTCAACCTCATCTTCAAGGCCAGGTCCAAGGCCCACTTCGAGATGGAGTCTTTCATGGCTATTACAGTCCTAACTCTTCCACTTCTACATGGACAGCAGAGCATAGCGTTTGATTCCACACGTTCTGTTTCATGCCTTCTCCCTCCTTGATGGTAATATTCTTAAGGTCAGGAAGCATGTTCTTCTCGTATTTTATATCTACCACTGTAAAAACGTTCATGCTTATCCCCTCAGCCCAGTTGTAAGGCAGAGAACAGTAGCTTATTGATCTACCTAACAATTATTATAAAGCATGTTTATCCATGGTAAAAAGAAGTAGAGGGGTGTTATAAATGTGAAAATAATGTAAAAACAGGCATAACCAAGAAGCCTGAAAGGTTAAGTGCCTTGCTGGAGTCACACAGTTGGGGAATAGCTTAGTCTTCGGCCTAACCGCTGAGCATCCTGCCTTGGTTCCTTGTGCGATTTCCTGGCAGATCTGCTACTTGCTAAATCAGGTAGCTGCACCCCAAACGCCTGCAGGTCCTCCACAGGGCTTAGTGTTCACATATCAAAACAAGACAATTCCCAAAGTCACTTAAATCGTATGCCACAAATGAGGGAAAGGTGATGAAGGTACATCAGACTTAACCATACAAGGCACCATACAAACTTAACCATACAGTCAGGATGCCAAAGATGCTTCTGTCACTTTTTTGTTTGTTTTTTTTTGTTTTGCGGTACGCGGTCCTCTCACTGTTGTGGCCTCTCCCGCTGTGGAGCACAGGCTCCGGACGCGCAGGCTCAGCGGCCATGGCTCACGGGCCCAGCCGCTCCGCGGCACGCAGGATCCTCCCAGACCGGGGAACAAACCCGCGTCCCCTGAATCGGCAGGTGGACTCTCAGCTACTGCGCCACCAGGGAAGCCCCCTGTTAGTTATTTTTTAATTTTTATTTATTTATTTATTTTTTGCAGTACGCGGGCCTCACCGTTGTGGCCTCTCCCGTTGCGGAGCACAGGCTCCGGACGCGCAGGCTCAGCGGCCATGGCTCACGGGCCCAGCCGCTCCACGGCATGCGGGATCCTCCCGGACCGGGGCACGAACCCGCGTCCCGTGCATCGGCAGGTGGCCTCTCAACCACTGTGCCACCAGGGAAGCCCGCTTCTGTCATCAATAAGGACCAGCAGAGTGTCCTCTGCTGATGGTCCTCCCCTTAGTGGAGAGAACAATGCACTGGGATGATGCCAAGGTTGGAATTTGGGAGTAGTGTTAGATGAGGTGGGAGAGGAAAGGGGAGTCAGATTTGCATGTTGTTCTGAGGGATTCTGACTTTATCCTGGGGGGAGCAGGGAGCCTTTAAAGACTTTTAAGGAGCCGTCAGGCCTGTGACATAGAAGTGCCTGGCTGCTGCAGGCTGGTCTGGGGAAAGTAGGGAGGTGGTGACCTCGGAGGCTGCCTGCCCCAGGACCCTTGGGCTGGGGAAGGAGAGACCTGGATGGATTCAAAAGATGTGAGAGCCTTTTCGTTACCAGGATGACTGCACTCTTTCTGGTTTGAGATGCAGTTATTCCTTGAGGCTGACTAACTTGATGTGTAGCCTTCGATTCCATGTTGCCAGAGAAATGTTCATGGTTTCTGACCCACACGTATCTGCCTCCAACTCCCCTGGGCTGTCTGGAGGTCCCCTTCAGCAGTCAAGGGCACTTTTCACTGTTTTCTGCTCTGCCACCTCCACTGCTCTTGTCACGTGTAAGCTGTCTCCACAGCATATACCCGTCTTCCTGTTTACACAAGCACCCTACAAAGTTCAGTCCAAAAGTTCTCTTTCACAGTACATATAAATCTTTTTCTATATACACTGGCCATACGTATGAGCAAATTGTACATTTATTCTGTAGTCATAGGGTGAGTAGATGGTAGGATTGGTGTTTTCTGCTTCTGGAATTTTTCTTCTGAGCTTTAAAGATGTTTAACCGTCTGTTTATGAGTTAAAAGTGAGTGTTCTAAGTGGAGTCTGTGAATACAAATGTGAATCAGGGAAATACATTGAAGAGGCATTGTCAATAATGAATTGCAACTATGCATCTCTCTCAGCAGTTTTTGCAGCTTTAAAAGGTCTAATGTAATCAGATGTTTTTGGGTTTTTTTGTTTAATTTTTATTTATTTATTTTTGGCTGCCTTGGGTCTTCATTGCTGTGTGCGGGCTTTGTCTGGTTGCGGCGAGCGGGGGCTACTCTTCTTTGTGGTGCGCAGGCTTCTTACTGTGGTGGCTTCTCTTATTGCGGAGCACGGGCTGTAGGTGCACGGGCTTAGTTGCTCCGCGGCATGTGGGATCTTCCCAGACCAGGGCTCGAACCCGTGTCCCCCTGCATTGGCAGGCGGATTCCCAACCACTGTGCCATTAGGGAAGTCCCATCAGATGGTATTTTTAAGGAATTAAAAACAATTAATGTTAACAATGGATTTTTGTCTAGATTATATCCTTTAGGAAGATATATGTATATTTGGGGTGTAGAATTGCTTCAACTGCATGGAAAAGAATTTATTTTTCCTTAAAACAACTTTTACCCATATCCTTAATTATTTACAGATGATATGTATTTATTTAATATTATCATGTTACACAATTATTTTAATAAAAACAGAATGTTGGATTCACTGTTAAACTTCTTTTCCGAAATACAAATGAGGTTGAAATTTATATTTTCGAAAGCTTTATCATGTTGTCTCTTCCTCTAGCCAAATATAGTAGATACTTACAAATGATTAAGTTGACGTAGCTCTTCTGTAAGAGAATGAATTTTATCTCCTCCTACCTGAAGGAGACTGTTTCAGTGGTTTCTTTTCAGAAAGCTTGATTTTTCTGACTGTAATATAAGAGTTCAAATAGAGTTCAGCACATACATGCAAATTAAATTATATAGCATTTTCAGAATATACTTTTGCTCACTATTAACACGAGAGTAGCAGTTGGAATAAAGACACCCTTTGTCAATTTTTCCTTTGACTTGAAGTTGTAATCCTATTGGGATTTGAGTGAATTTAAACGTAAATAAAATGGAACAGGCAACAGATTTCAACTCGGGGAACTGGTCCCAGTGTTATTGCATAACTTAATAATGTAGATCTAACGCAAATGCTAATATTTGACCTTGGTCTGTACTTGACGCTGTTCTTTGGTAATTGCCATCATCCTGGCAGTCACCGAAGGGGGCCAGCAAAGGAGAGTCATGTGAGAGCAGTTTGAAGGGGTCCACACTGCATAATCTGCTGCAGTGTTTTGAGGTGTTGACATCCCTTTTTTATAACTGTTCACCAGCTTTCTATTGAGGTGCCCTTGAGTTGGCTCTTACTGGTAGGTCTGTACTAGCCCTAAGTAGTTGGTAGTTTAACTTACTAACTAATTTTAACCGTTAGTAAAACTCTAAGCACAGTTGCATGCATTAATAATCACTGGGTATTCCCTCTCTACTTTCACATATACAGACATAATTTTTGCATAAATGCATGCACGTATACAGTATGCTTAATTAATTCATGTCCTCACAAGAAGAACTCCTAATATATAATGGATGTCAAGAAGAGTATTATTTCATTCTACAGACCTTTCCGTCTATATCTATGAAAATTATCCAGAAAGCAAACGTTGAAAAAAAACCCAGTGTTTACGACTGGGCTTATCCTTTGTGTTGATTGCTACGTGTGGGCAAAACTGGGCATGTTGGCTTTATGTACCTGGGTTTGTGGATTTGCCATTATGATTTTGGCTAAAGTGTTACAGAGCACTGTTCAAGGAAGGGCATGGGAATGTGGAAGTTGTATGTTATTCATGCTTTATTTCAAGGAAGAAATCCACTCCCCAAACATTGATGATGTGGGATTAAAGAGGCTAGAAAATAATCATGCTAGTTTTACTACCTTTGGTGCTATTCTTATAAATGATTTTCTAAAATGAATCTTAGCTAAAAGCTAAGATCCTTTAATTTAGGGCTTTGGAAAGCCCTAAATGTACGTATGTATATCTTTATTGTAGTCTTTTATGGTTAGTTATGACTTGTGTTACCTTTTTGGTAGAAAATATGAAAATGATATGCTGAGCTTTTGGACTGGTGAGCTTGCTGACCCATCATAACCTGTGATGAAGGCGTTCTCTGAAGTGTAGGGCAGGGGTACGCAACCCCCAGGCCACGGACCGCTACCTGCCCAACGGCCTGTTAGGAACCCGGCCGCACAGCAGGAGGTGAGGGGCGGGTAGGCAAGTGAGCGAAGCTTCATCTGCCGCTCAAAATCGTCTTCCTCGAAACCGGTCCCTGGTGCCAAAAAGGTTGGGGAACGCTGGTGTAGGGGATGGCGGGTGGCAGGACTGCCCTGATGTATGGCTGAGAGAGCTCCACAGTGTTTGGAGCAAATCATCACCATTGCGAGGCCCATCAGGAAAAGAGATGTTCTTAAAGGCAGAATTTGTAAGCCATAATCTAAAATACCTAAAATAAGGGTGATTTTTTTTTTTTTCCTTTCAGATTTTGGGGTAAGTGCTTTCTTAGCAACAGGGGGTGATGTTACCCGGAATAAAGTAAGAAAAACATTCGTTGGCACCCCGTGTTGGATGGCCCCTGAAGTCATGGAACAGGTGAAATAAATTAATAAATAAAATAAAAGTGATGTTTTGATTGACATAGTACAGTTGTACAATACATGTCATTAGTACACTAACATTTTGTTCAAATCAATCATTTTACTAGAATGCGTCATGCAAGATTTAATTCCCGATTGCTGGGCCTTAGCAAAGTAATCTCAAGGTTGTGCACACACGGCCGTGGACTTCTGACATAATATGGACCCCGTCATGTATAACATGCCGGCTGTATAATTGTGTTTTTTTTCCCTGCTTCCCTTCTTAGGTGAGAGGCTATGACTTCAAGGCTGACATGTGGAGTTTTGGAATAACTGCCATTGAACTCGCCACAGGAGCAGCGCCTTATCACAAATATCCTCCTATGAAAGTAATTGCTATTGGAAATACTATGTCGGGTTTGAAATATGATTTAACAGAATCCATTCTCTTAAACATAGTCATTTCTCTCTTAGACCCAAGGGGAATTAATGGAGGGATGCAGCCAAGTTAAATGTTAGCTGATGCTCTCAGCGGACAGAATGGGACAAAAGTAGCACAGTTCCCGGCTTTGAAGCTTGCTTTGCGTTCTTAGCACAGAAGAATGTGATCAGATTGGTCGATGGAGGTTGATAGATGAGACAAATGCTGGTCATTACTCTCTCTATCACCGAATACCCCCAGCTCCCCAAGAAAAATCTAAAAGTAGATTATAGTGATATCATCTTTACAGATGGATTTCCCAAATTTTCAGGCCTTTTTTTCCCCATGGTCTGTAACATTTCACTCCTGTTCTCATAGTGTCATGTTGGTGACTCATCTGAAATAAGGGAGCCCAGTGTTTTTAGGAACTAACATACATTTGGATACCATTTTTAGATTTTTGTTATTTTTTTGGAAGTTACTCTTTATTGTTATTGTTTTTTAAAATATTTATTTATTTATTTGGCTGCATGGGATCTTAGTTGCGGCCTGCGGGCTCTTCGCTTCGTTGCGGTGTGTGCGCAGGCTTCTCTCTAGTTGCAGCACACAGGCTCTCTAGTTGTGGTGCTTAGTTGCCCCTCAGCATGTGGGATCTTAGTTCCCTGACCATGGATGGAACTGGCATCCCCTGCATTGCAAGATGGATTCTTAACCACTGGACCACCAGGGAAGTCCCTATTTTTGTTATTCTTTTAACTAGCCTACATCATTATTTCTCTTAGTTTTGAGGTGGTGGGATCAGGGCTAATTTACCCAAATGGATTTTGTTTTGTGGCTGAACTAGTTGAATGGAAATTATGAAGGTATTTTACAGAGAATATGGTCCATGTTTGTTTCAACTTTTTCCTAGGATTTTATTGGAAAAGTTTTAAGAGGATTTAGAAAAAAAAAGACCTGAGGATAAAAAAAAGTTAAATGATTTTACTGATTAAAAAGTTAATACGTTCTTATTGTAGAAAATTTGGAAGTCCAAATAAGAATAAAGGTGAAAACAGTCATCCATAATCTATCTCATCAACCACAGACAATCCCTATTAAAGTTTTAGTGTAGGTCATTACACTGTTTTTCTCTCTATATTTATATACATATTTTTTAAATAGTTAAGATTTGGGGGTTGTGTGTACACACCTGATTTTGTCAGCAGAAAATTTTAAATTGAGGTGTAAACAACTGAAGTGACCTTTTGGGGAAAAAGCACTGAAACAGCGCTGAGGACTTTTCTTTCATCTGGTTTTTCTCTATTATTTTTTCTTATTTCTTGTTTGCTTTCTTTCCCTACTTTTTAGTGTTTTCCACTTGAATCCAGTCACATTGCTAATTCTAGCCTAAAGTCCTGCAGGACTTTTCTTAAAATCTCACAGATCTCCCACTTTTCTTCGGTTTGCTATTATCCTCCACAAACAATATACTGTCACTTTAATCCTTCATCTGTTCACGCATCTGAAAGTGTTTGAACAGTGTCTTGGCGTGTAGAGCATTTGCATAAATTAAGGCTGATGTATGCATTAATGAGTTTTTTTTCATTTTATAGGTCAATAGTTTGCTACAAATTCTACACTTTTTTAAAAAAAACAAATAATTTTGACGTTAGTGTGAAAGAATGGAATTTTTTACCTTTTCGATGTGAAACCTGTGTTTTGATTTTGTTTTGTCCCTTTCCAAAAGCAGCATGGACTTTTGTTCTGGTTATGGTTTTTAGTAACTCACTTGTGTCCCAGCTATCTTTCAGTGTCTTACTGTCTCAGTTTTGCCAAGCCTTTGAGCAATTTTCTGTATGTTTTTTCATTTAAAAAAGAAAAAGGGAGACCATGTGTTACCTCTTGGGATGTTGTGGATTTATTTTTAGGGCTGGTAATGTATTACAGAAGCCTTGAGTACAGGCGGTCCCTTCCTTAGGAATAACCTGTATACGTGAACATTCCCTGCTGCTCTGGACCTCTCTTTCTCTACCCTCCACTGCCCCCTTTCCCAGCCAGAGCACAGCCTGCACTAAGCTGGTGCTGGAGCTATGTGCTCCTGCAGGCCTTGTGAGAGCTAGTTCCCAGGAAGCCCTTGTCCTGGCTGCTTTGGGAGAGCACTCTTAACACATAGAGCAGATTTTGTAAGTTCTGTCAATGGAATAACAAAAAGGTTAAAGGGCACGTGAACAGGTTTGCAAAGGGAACTGAATACTTTGCACACTTTCTAGAAGATGAAAATCATGAGGAAGCACGTTTGTACCTAATCAAGGAGGGTCTTTGAGGCTTTGCTGGAAAATGAAAAACTCAGTTGTAGCAACTGCTGTCCTGAGATCCTGTCTTCCTGTTTGTTTCTGCTGCAGGTGTTGATGTTGACTTTGCAAAATGATCCACCCACTTTAGAAACAGGAGTAGAGGATAAGGAGATGATGAAAAAGTACGGCAAGTCCTTTAGAAAATTACTTTCACTGTGTCTTCAGAAAGATCCCTCCAAAAGGTATGTCAAACTGGGTGGATGAGTGAGTGATCATGACTGGGTGGGGTCATGACAAAGCTTGGTTTGTGGATGGGGAAGGGCTGTGTGAGGAGTCCTGAAGTTTAGTTCTATCCAGTTCAAGGGAAATCCAGCTCTGGTCCCCAGATTTCCAACCTGTTAGTGGAAGCTTGGGTCCAAAAGGGAGAGAAGTGAGTGAGGACGAGGGAGAGGCAGAGGCAAATTTTCCGTGTTAATAAGATTGGTGGTGCTTGTTAGGTGTGGGCTCTGTCATCAAAGGAAGTGAAGTAAAACGAGTCAAAAGCAATTGGCAGTGGTGAATTCAGAAGCTGAGCCAATATTCTGCACTGTGTAGGTTGCGCTGACCTCTCAGGATTTGAATATCCTGCCAGCTCCAGTCTAAACCAGGCAGAGCTGTTGCATTTTGCATGAGCTTCCTTTGAGTTGCAGAACAAGTTGTTTGTGCTGTTTAAAAGATTATCAGTAAAGAAGATTAACATTTTTACATTCGAAAGATTAATCGTATAAATAGAAGCAAATGGTTTTAAATTAACTTCAGTATTTCCTCTTTATTCGTGGGTTATTGCCCTGCACTGAGGTATGTCTGTTTTTTTCTGAGTTTTGTTTCTTCTTCTTCATTTCTGTGAGTTTGAAGTATCCTGGGTGGTGATAGTAGAGCCCAGTGTCCTTTGTCACTTGAAGGAGAATGTTAAGGACGTGAACTGAGCGTACACCTTGGCTGGGGAGGGGCCCTTTGTAGTGCCTGTCTGTGTGCTGCATTGTCCTAATGTGAGGTGAACTTGGATTACGGAGAGGCTGCTGAGAAGTTACTGGCTACCCTGATCCACCCAGGACTCCAACTTGATACTTAACGTTCTAAAACATAAAAGCTGGCTTCTCTTTTGGAACTTTCTTTTTCAGGGAAGGACCCTGCTTTTCGAAGGATTCCTTTATCCTTAAGTTCTTGATGAAACTTAAGCCTTTTGCCTTCGCACAGTGATCTACTGTTTGAGCAGGCTACCCTTCTCTAGAATAAACATAGTTTCCATTATTACACCTGTTCTCTGTAGCAGCTCTGTTCATTCCTTTACATTTTACTGAATTTGCCTTGAATCTTTTCTATATCAGTTAGTTACCTCTCTCATGGAGCCAGTTTAAAGACTCTTTGCTGTTAAGCATTTTGAAATTATTTATTGTAAAAGGGGTGCAACACTTGCTTGTATTTGGTGTCATCTCCAAGCGTAAGTTTTTAGCATCACCGAGGAGACAGACTTTGATCCTCTAAAGCCCAGTGAGAGAAGAACCTGTTTTCCCGTTTAGAAGGACTGGGTTGTGACTGATGGTCTTTGTGATTCTCAAAATAGTTGAGATTCCACCTAGTGGTGATGTGTAATGCCGCACGATTCCAGCTCTTTCAAAAAAGGATTCTGTAGGTAGAACTGTTAGTGTACTAACTGATAAATATATTTCTTTAGGAGACTTATAATTTGGTCAAAATAAATTAGATTAGACCGTCATACATTATATTTAACAAGCCATCCTTACTTCTCAATAATCTTGAAAGTCTTTCCAGTTTTTATTTGTTATATGAGCTCAAATATCAGGTTCCCACCACCCCACCAAACAACAACAATAATAACAGCAAAAGTTTTAGAAGAGAGCCATACAGAATTTATTCGAATTCTCACAACATCTTTCCCTCAGAGTATTCTCTTGGTAACATTATTGATTTACAGAGTATTAATAGGTTAAGAACTTCTGTTAGATACTTTCTGTATAATGTAATCTGTTCTCACTATCGTGCAGTTGTCCTCTATAACAAACAGAGAGTGTCACTGGTGCACAAACTTCCCAGGTGATTTTTTCTTGTAATGAAAAGACACGACGTGGGAAGTTTGGGGAAAAAAGATTCAGGAAATGTGAGAATGGAAAAAAGCAGTATTATAATTGTTGAATTATTTATTATACAGGATGCAATTAAAAAATATGTATTCATGACTGAATTAATAAGTAAACATCTAATTGCTGCTCAGGTCTGAAAGAAACCTGTGAGTATTTCTTATCTTCTCTGCCTTTGTTTATATTGTCCAAAGATTTTTTCCTCTTCTCCTGTCCCCCTTCTACCTGTCTTTCAATACTTAGTTCAAAGGCCCCAGGTTCTCAAAGGTACATACATCTGGGTGCGATTCCTAGCCCTACATCATCTGCATGACTTAGTTTCCTTGTCTGTAAAATGGGCCTAATAACACCACGTCATAGGGTTGCTATGACGATGGAGATGATGCCCTTAAAGCAGAGAACAGTGCCGGAGCATTCCTAAGTATTCAGGAAATTGGGGTTGCCATTCATTATTTGCCTTTTCTTCCTGACCAAGTAGAGTTGTTGCAACCTTGAGTTTCCTGCAGTATGTTGATGATATGTCTCTTGTAGCACTTATCACACTGTGTACATTTATTGACTTACATATTCAATTTCCTCATGAGTTTCTGAGTTTTTTAGAAGGAGAATCTGTGCCTCTCATCTTTCTGTCTCTCTTTTTGTCCACAGTGACTGGTCTGTATTACGTACTCAGTGGTATTTCTTGAACACCTGCAAACAATTGGGAGCTTGCAATTTGGGGATGATTTGGACTCATTGAAACGAGTTTCGGAACCAGACCAGATTGGAGTGGGTTGAGGAGTGAAGGCAAGAGTTTCGATCATTGTATTTATTTCTGTTGCCAGCATATAGATCCTCTGCTTGTAATCTAAAAGCAGTTGACTAGTACTGAAATCCTGGTCTTGCTGAGTACCTTTTTAGCAATGAATGAAAACATATATCACAGGGGAACAGTGACCAGGACAGAATCATTCCTATGCTGGAGCCCTCAAGCTAGCTGAGAAGGAACTGTGCTTTCTGTCAACCTTGAGAGCTCGTGGAACTTTCCTATTGCCTGAGAGCTGGGTGTCAGAGCTGTTTGCCTCATCCAGGTCTGTGCCCTGCATTTGCATAGGTAAAGATTTGCTTATATTTGCACAGCAGAACATTTTGCTATTCTTAAAAAAAAAGAGCCTTAATCTTGGAGGTTATATACTTCATATGGATGACAACTATAAAAGTAACTATCATTTTTTTTGGAGCAACAGAGGGTTGGTTGTTGCATAGATAAATCCACTGGAAACAAATAAAACTTGGAATATTTCTTCTGAGGGAAGGGGTGGGGTGAGAAACGCAGCTCTGCCAGAGGTCAATGTATTGTTCTAGAAATTTGCATTTTAATTCCTATTTAAACTGTATCACATTCATCCTGAATCCTTTGAAAATTATTTTAAGTCTCAGTGGACTTTGGTTCATCCATATGTATTGGAATCCTTTAAGGGATTTTCTTCTGAGAATGTTGGTACTTGCAGACTTCCGCATTGTTTTTAAGGATTTAAAATTGAATCATTATTCAAAGTCTGGGCCATCATTTTGGTTGCTGGTATATAGCATTTTAGCATTTCTTGTAAAATGGTGTTTGTGTTTACATTATATTGTATTGCTTGATAATTGGTAGTGGACATGTAAGACAGAATGGTGCTTGCAGAATTCTTTCGTCTGTAGTACTCGGCTAAGAGACAGGCAGCACTGATGGTTCCACATTAACCCTACACTAGTAGTTTCTATAGCATAAGACTAAAACAGACAAAACATGCAAAAACCCTAAAATCAGATGGGCAGCACACATCTTGGCTTCTCTCATACCTTCTAATCACTTTCTTCCCTTCCTCATTTTCCTCATTCTTTCCACTTCCACTTTTCCATGCTTTTTATGGAGATAGTTTGGCACATGTAGGATTCAACTCCAAAATTCAACACCTGCTATTTAGTTCTCTGTATAGAGTAGAAATTACCTATTATTTAACATAAATATTAAGCCTGTTAAAAAAAGGAGCGTGGCTTCTTAAACCACTTCTCCTTTCTCATGTCATTGTGTTTCTGTATCTGTTGATGAAGGCTGAGGGTGGAGTCCAAAGGAAAGAGTTTTCTCTGCAGCATGCTTTTCCCCTTTACAGTTTTGGTTACTATAGAAATGACCTTGCTGGGGAAGGGAAAGTATTCCCAGCCCTTTGTCTCCAGGTATGCCTGGCATTTCCCAGCCTTGTCTGTACATGGGTCCTACACTTGACCCTGGGTTGAGGAGGGAGGAGGTGGGGTGCGGAGGAGAGAGGGGGTTGTCTGTGGCCCCCCTCCTCAGTGCCTCCTGTGTACAGACGCATCCCTCGCCTTTTCTTTTTTGTTAGCCTGAGTCTTGTTTTCATTACATCATTCTCCTGCTCTCTACCATATTGAGTAGATGCTTAGAGTGCTGACTAACTCTGGCTCCAGAAGCTGTGGTTTGGGGCTCCAATGTCTAGTGGCATCATTTTTACCCCATATTTGATGATAGCATGAAACTGAGCTGTAGCAGTTTTGTGCTCTGTGTTAGGCTTTGGGGATATAACAAATGAATACTGTGTGGTCCCTTTCTTGGAAAGGCTTATAACCTAGTGGGGTGGAGGCAGGGAGATACAGAAACAGATTATTGCAAAGTGTGGTGGATTGGTGTGTGAGCACCAAGGTGGGAGCAATGAATTCCGCTACTTGTAGGACCTGGGAGAAACACCTCTGAAGACGGATGGCATTTAAATGGGTTCTTGACTGACGAGCAAAGATATGCCAGTTGGTCACAAAACATTCTAAAGCAAGAAGAGCAGTGTGTGCTTTGTCATGAAAGAGCAAGAGATGGCGGAGACCATCACCGTAGCTGGAGGATAGAGTTCATGTGGGGCGTGATGGGAAATGGGGCTGGAGGAGTCGGGGTCTCAGGCCACTGGAATCCATTAGGAGGGATAAGAAATTGTTTTCGTTTAGAAGCCAGCTAGGGAGCAGTGTGGGTGATTGGTTGGAATGAGAAGAGAGAAGTGGCAGACAGACTCACCGGGAGGCTGTTTCATAACGCTGTTGACCAGAGGGGATGAGGGTTTCTACCAAAAGAGTGGCCTTGAGTTCCTTCACCATCTTGATTTTCTTCGGTTTCTTTTCTTTTCACTCTAAAAAGTTAAATCTAAGTTATTTTGTATGCCTCTTGGTTTTTAAAATTTGGTTTCATGTGGTAAGGTACCAAACATGGTCAGTCCCTTGTGTAATGGTTCCTCTTATATGTCTTCTCAGTAGCCCTCTCCTTTCCCCAAACACAATTCATGTGTTTGAATGTTCTGACCTTCCTCTTCCAGTCTGACAGCACACTCTAACTCTTATCTGCCAGATTGTGAGTTGCTGAGCGTAGTATTTATGTCTGTCATAGTCATTAGAGTGGGCCTAGCACCTAACATGATGCCTGACAAACAGCAGATGCTCAGTATATATTTACTGAGAGCATGAAATGATGAGTTTGGAGTAGCTGGAAGCCCAAAAGTTTGCCAATCATCACTAAGAGTAGTCTACATTAAAGAGGCAACCAGAGTTAAATCACTTCAGTTATCCTTTTTAGTTCTAGTGCGTGGTAAACAAGGTCCAAAAACAAGGTCCAAGGTACAAATTCATGAATTTGAACGAGCTTACCAAGGGATACGGAACACAAAATGTAAAGCGTGGCCCACCTGTTGTTTAGACCTTTGTTTACTCCAAGCGATTAGCAATTAGGGGCTCTTGGTTGCAGGGCTATGGCGATTTGGGGTTCTTTGTTAGGTACCCCTAACCAGTGTTCCACTTGAAATTGAGGAAAAGAGCATTAACAATTGAAAGAGAAAATTTCTTTGCACAGAAATACGGTTTATGGCTCCTGCAGACTTACACAGTTTGTATACCGTTGCACTTAATGATGCTTCCTAATTCTTTTATACGCGTGGGTTTTGTCCCTGGAAACGTTTTAGTGGAGCTTCCTGGTTCAGAGCACTGGTTTCCAATCTCTTCAAGTGCGAGGACTCCCTTTAAACTTGGATCCGCTTAACACAATAGTCATGATCCCTTTGGCAGTCACTGCCTGAGAGGAGACCTAATGATATTCAGTCATGCTTCCCTCCTCCCTCCCAGTTTTTTATTATGAAAAATTTAAAGCATACAGAAAAGGTGCAAAAATTGTACAGTGTTTGCTTCTACAACAACACTGAGATTCAGCAATTATTCACATTTCCCATATCTGCTGTCCCTATTTACCCACATTTTATTTGCTGAACAGTTTGAAAATAAGTAACAGACGTAATACCTCAGCTTGCATTCCCTCCAAATACAGACACGTTCCTACGTAACCACAATGCTTTTCCACAAAGTAAATGAACAGTAATTTCCTAAAATTGTCCTATACCTAGCACACTCACCTATCTCTATCTTTAAATGTCTCTTGCAGCCTCTCCCCGTCCGGTTCAAATCAGGACTCAGGAGAGGGGCATGTGTTGCGTTTGGTTGTATGTTCCTTTAAGTCTGTTTTAATCGAGAACAGTCCCCTCACGTCTCCCTTTTTCTTCTATGACACCGACTTTTTGAAGAGATCAGACCAGTTGTCTTGCTGACTGTCCTATCCTCTAGGTATATGTGATTCTTCCTGCATGGCTGCGGGAACTATTGATGAAAGAAGCTGTTCTTTATGGAAGAGTGCCAGTTATTAAACGTAGAAGGAATGAGAGAAGTAGAAAATCAGTGTTCTGCCACCTCCAGTGAAATAATTATTTAAGGCAAAGATGCTAAAACCATCAGGTGAAAGTTTCTCCGGAACAGGATATTCATATCGTGGCAATGTATTATCCAACAGAATACTTGCCAGTTGCAGTGGCGAAAACTTACCTTTACTGTGGAGAGATCTTGGGCCTGGGGACCACGCGGTTAAACTTAGCATCCCTCCCGCTGAAATAACCTATCATTATGTGCCTCCCCCATGCTGCAGTAAGATGTGTGTCATCTATGACGTGTTCTTCCCCCAAATGCTTGTGTCAACCTAGCCAAGCCTTCAGACCCAACTTGCATTTTATGGGAAATACAGTACAGAGAAACAAGTTAAGTGACACCACGAGGAAACAATCAGACCAATCCATAATGCTTTAAAATGAATTTGCATTCTGTTAATCACCATTCTATTAATTACCTTCCCCTGAAAAACAATAGTCCATGGACACTTGAGACCGGGTTACTCGGTGGCCAGACAGAGCTCGTACACATGCTGCGTGGTCCCCTTGCAGAAACTTCTGTTCTTGGGGAATCATAGAACACTGTGGACACAGTTTCTTCGATAGGGTCATATCGCAGCTTGTACTGCTTCTTAATAAATACAGGGATTCAGCTCACAGACGTGTCAGTCTGCCACCTTTTAGAAACACTGAATTCACTTAGTGAAGTGTAAGGATGAAGGATGGAAGATCGATCATGCCCCAGGTATTTCACTTGCAGGAGTTTATGTAGAGGAGGAGTTTTGCAGTAGAGGCGTCTGGAAGGAACTGGAAAATTGGCACCATTTAATTCGGTGCCCGCTTATGAGTAATTTAGTCTGTGGCTTTGCTATTCCTTAAACTGGTCTTCCAGAAAGACTCTAGGATTAACTTGTTTCGTCAAGGCAGTGTCTTTATTGAGCGGTCATTGTTTCAACTCTAATTTATTATTGATCTTTCAGGCCCACAGCAGCAGAACTTTTAAAATGCAAATTCTTCCAGAAAGCCAAGGTAACATGCTTAAAAACCCAAGTAAATCTGCTATTTTGAAATCACTGTGAATTTCAGTGTCTTGTATTTGATGTTAAACTGTTGGGAATATTTGTTTTGCAGAACAGAGAGTACCTGATTGAGAAGCTGCTTACAAGAACACCAGACATAGCCCAAAGAGCCAAAAAGGTAAGTGCTATGAGCCCTCCTGCCGCAGTGGGAGCTGCTCCCCATCCAGGGAAATGGAGCCTACAGAAAAATAGGAAAACGATTTCACATACTCCGGATATGTTATGTAGAGGTTATCTGACCAGCGATTACTCAGACAACTGAGCCTTTTGGTTATCTCAGCCTGCTGCTGTGTGTTTGGGTGTGAAGCTCAAATGACTTCAACTTTTCACTTATCAGCCTGTTTAAGGAAGGTCAGAGGGGAGGGGCTTGTGTTGAGGCTTAAACACTGGAGAGGTAAAATATCTTTGAATATCTTTTGGGGCTGGGGGGGGGGATTTTTTTTTTTTTTTTTTGCGGTATGCGGGCCTCTCACCGCTGTGGCCTCTCCCGTTGCGGAGGCTCCGGACGCGCGCAGCCCCAGCGGCCATGGCTTACGGGCCCAGCTGCTCCGCAGCATGTGGGATCCTCCCGGACCGGGGCACGAACCCGCGTCCCCTGCATCGGCAGGCGGACTCTCAACCACTGCGCCACCAGGGAAGCCCAAAACTTTTGTTTTTAACGGTTATTTTAAATATCTGTGGGATATAGGTTCTTTCCTCATAAAAGACCCATGTATTTTTTTGTAGTCTACGCTGTGTGAACTAAATTATGCTAATAATTACCTGAAAAACTTTGCATTCTAGTATTTAGATTTTTTTTAAGTGGTATGTATGTGTGAGTGTATTTATTTATGTGTTTTTACCCAGAGTTTTATTATTTGTTATTACAGATTTCATCATGGTATGAAACCTAACAAAATTTAACCTCTGGTTTGGTTTGGTTTAGTTTGATTTGAAAATTATATTAGATATTTATAATTTAACATATTGACGTAGTCAACAGATTTAGAAAGAGGAAGCTTCTTTGTTTTTTGTTTTCCTTTTTACAATTAATAGTTACAGGGAAAGGTGATATGAATCTGAGTTGTCTGCTCTGTAAATAAAATTGACAAAGAAATAGGCGTGAGAGATTGCATCTCATCATGCCTAGGTGTGGGTAACTTGGACTGTTAACTTCCAGACATTGCCCTTTCGAAAACATTGGATATGGAACACATTTAGCTGATGCTTTAGAATTGCTTTAAATAGATTTTAAAATAGACTTCAAGAAATGACCCATTCTTTGTGGGTATCGAGCCCCTCTCCTGGACCTGCAGAATCCTTTGGAGTGGGCTGGTTCCCGGGCTGTGGGCCTGGGCCAGGAATGGGGGATTGCTGTGCTGACTGCGCAGCCCTGAGCCACAGTAGGCCTCTGGACAGCTCAGAGGGAAAAGTGAACCTCTAGCGATGGTCCAGCAGAGTGGCACATCCCACGGGGCAGCGCGGAGAAGCTGAAGCTTCAGTTTGAGGCAACAGAAAGTCAAAGTGCCCAACCGAGTGCGAGGGCTCCATCCAGAGGGCTGAAGGAGGTGCCTGGAGCACTTCTCTGGGGTGTCGGAGTCTAGCAATGGGGCCTTTTGATCAGATAACGAAAACGCCAACCAGAGTTGAAGAAAGCTGTTAAGAAAGCCATTCATTTGGACAGTATGTGTCCCCAAAGGACATTGTTTTTGGTTTCCCTCTGATCTCATCCTGTCGCTGTTTCCCGGGAGGAACTTTCCCAGGCCTGCATCCTTCCCAGAGCTCCAACCTCACACCTTCAGCCCCCTGTGCAGTGTTTGCAAACTGTGTGTCTTCCCTCCCAAACCTCATCTCCCTGTGCTGTCTGCTGCTTTCTGAGCCACCCGACCTCAGAGCTCGGGGATGGTTTTTAGGCCTCCTTCTTTGTCTTCCCCATCTAAACCCACTCCAAGTCCTCTCCACATTTCCCTCTGCAACGTTGCTTGGAATGTTTCCTCCTGTTTTTTTTTGTTTGTTTGTTTTTCTTTTTGTTTTTTGCTGTGTGCGGGCCTCTCACTTCTGTGGCCTCTCCCGTCACAGAGCACAGGCTCTGGACGCGCAGGCTCAGCGGCCATGGCTCACGGGTCCAGCCGCTCCGCAGCATGTAGGATCTTCCCGGACCGGGGCACGAACCCGTGTCCCCTGCATCGGCAGGCGGACTCTCAACCACTGCGCCACCAGGGAAGCCCCCTCCTGTTTCTAATTGAACCTTTACAGTGGATTTCTAACTACTCTCCTCCCCCACCCCATTCCTCCTTAGACACTAGTGCAAGACTAACTTTCTAATCGTGGCGCTTAATTGCTCAAAAGTGGTTGCCAAAATTAAACAAAAACAAAAGGAAATAAATGGGGAAAAAAAAAAGGTTCCTATCAAATAAAGTCCAAGCCCCTTAGCCTTGAATTCATGACACCATTTCAACTTCCCGGCTTATGCAGTTGACCCTTGAACAACCTGCCAACCCTCTGCACAGTCAAAAATCAGAGAACAGTTTATAGTCGGCCCTCTGTATGTGTGGTTCCTCTGTATCTGCGGATTCAATGAATTGTGGGTTGTGTTGTACTGTAGTATTTACTATTGAAAAAAACCCATGTGTAAATGGACTTGTGCTCTCCAAACCCGTGTTGTTCAAGGGTCAACTATATTCTAAACTCCAGTGAAACTTGAACCGTCTATAGTTCTTACTACATAACCCATACTTTCCTTTGAGATTCCATCAATGAGGAATCTGTTCAGGCTCTCACTTTGTTTTCTTTCCTTTTTTTTTTTTTAAATTTAGATTATTTATTACATATTAGTGTGTTGTGCATTCCAGATTCCATTTTGCACGAATCTTAAACCATAAGCAGCCGGAGTTTCGGGAATTATGATTTTCCAAGCATGTCTTCTGTCCTTTTACTAGCTCCTCAGGGATTGTTTTGTCATCCATCCCTTCAAATGGAAAATGGCCACACATCTGAGAGTCACACAAAGGAGGAAAGGGAGAATATAAATTAGTTCTTTAACCATCTTAGTAGAGAAGACAGGGGCCCATAATAATGCTCTTCTGGCTCTCCAGCTTCATTAAGTTGGCTGTTTTCCTGTCATAATTCTCATTTTAAAGTGCACTTTGGTTATCAGCTATACTCTACTCCTTGCCAGTAGGTTCCGTGGCAGGTACACCGTCCTGGTCAGCATCAGTCAGTGTGTGTCTTGTTCATAGTAAGTGCCCACAAAATGTCTGCTGACTCAATGAACACATGCTTCAGTGGACCAAGGAAAGATCATTTGAAACGCTGTGTGTCTATCACTTGAACCCCCCAAGTGCTTGGCATATACTTGTTCCTAGGCTTCCTGTTAATAATAGGCAGACTGCCCTCATTCCCCTGGACTCGTGATGTTGATAAGCAACCATACTTTCCTTGTTTGAAACTCCTCATTTGGGCTTACTGGCCACTAGGAAGTAAATATTATTTTAATTGCCATGTGCGTTGAAAACCTTTGTGGCGCTATGTCTTTGCTTGTCTTAGGTCCTTACGGTGTTTAGGTAAATTTAATTTAAAAGTTGATACAGGGGAGTCCTCAGTGTTATTTGTGTTATTCACCCTTGGACTTGTCTTGATTGGCACCTGCTCAGCTGTCTCCTTTCCTGTTTGCTGTGGTGCCCACTAGTTGATGGTGCTCTAGTTTCTTGGTGGGCATTTGTTCCTTAGACGATAACTGTCGATGTTGGTCCCTTGACTTTGGTCACCTCAATTTGTTGTTTTTAAAACAGGAACAGACAGTTCATTGATACTCCAGTGTTGACGTGACAGCTGGGCCTGTTGACCAAGCTCAGGACATTTAGGCAACCATGTTGATTTGAAATTTGTTGTCATAAACCATAGTCTCTGCTTCTCCTCCTTTATGGTAATCAGTATTAAGAGCTATTTTTCAGTAACATGAATAACTCTCATATTTAAGAGGGAGAAGGACTGGTATTGTAGCTGCTCTCAGGAGGGCCTATGGAGCCCGTCAACGTGGTCTTTTGGTGTGACAGAGACAGAGGCTTATTGTATTCATGTTTGCCCAGGATGTGAAGCATTAGTTGAGAGCCACATAATTCCATGTGGGTATGTGATCTTCCCTGCATCCACAATGACTCCTGTAAATCAGGAAAAAAATATTAAAAAATAGAAACAGGCCAGTGTGGCTTCTCTGGTAATTTAGTGACATAAAATGATTTTTTTTGGATGTATTAATTGCAGAAATCAGGGATATTTGTGGGTTTTTTTGTTTCTTTTCTTTTGAAGGTAGCGTATTTGGTCCATTCTGGGTTCTTTTGCTAAAAGGTAGTGTTGTTTAGGGATCATCTTAATTTTCTTTTGCCTTGATTTTTCTGACTGTGAAATAGAAATTCTGTCTGACCCTAGGAATGTGATAAAGGGTAATGGGAGATTTGATGTTTCTGGACCTCAGCACACTCTGTAACTTGTAAATGAGAGAGTGCTAATAATGACCCGTGAGAACAGGGTGAAGTGCAGCTGTATAACTTCTTTTCAACTTTTCGCTTATCCTTGTGCATGAGAAGAAAAGGCTTCATAGCCATTAGTCCTTCTCATGTGGCTTTTTAGCGGCCTGTCTCCAGCCATCTTTTGAGGTTTGAAAGCTTGACCGCGAGGTGTTCCACCATTTACGCTACTGGAATCACTGGGTGGAGAAGGTGTAAGTCATTCTGTTAGAATCAAATGCAGATTCTTCAGGCTGTGTGCACTTTCTGTAGGAACATCTAAGTGTCCGAGTTGGCTGATGTCTCTGTTTTACGTTAGCAAAATGAACCTTGAGTCACCACACTCACACTCATATCATATACTTTTCTGTGGCTAAAACCCATCGATGCAGGGCAGGGCAGGGGCAAAGGGATGTCTAAATGCCAACTGCTTAGCCAAACGTGTATTGGCCAGAGAAGGGATGAGGTGGGGAAACGTAATACACAGTGTATCTTTTTATTATGGTGGTCTGTGTTTTCATGGGAAGTGGAGTCACTGGAGGATTTTTGGTTTGAATTTTCTTAATTATGAAATTGAGAAGTTAGGAACAGTTAGTGATTATCAGAAGGAGGAAAGGGGTATTGCGTCACTGCT